AGCCCATCTGAGGCCACAGAAATGTGGTGCTTGGTGATGTCCCAAGATGGGTTTATGGCCTGGCTGATTTTAGCACCTCCCATTTCAAAGCAGGGCTCCACCTGGCCCTGCTCTGAAACCACCTCTGGGCTGTGGGACCATATCTGGCACAGCTGGGACAGGCAGAGGCAGGAGGCAAAGGCAGAGTGTCTGTCCCAGCCTTCAAAGGGACCACAGCCAGGCAGAGAGCAGCGTTTGGCCAAGAAGCTGGAAAGAGTAACTCTGATCTTAAAAAAGTTATTAAAAAAGAAGAATGAGACATCATAAGGTGCTGGTTGTCATTTATCATCCCTCAGGCTGCTGTTAACTCCCACAGCACATTTCCCTGCCATGGCACAGAGATGTCCATCCCCTGCCCCACCAAAGTCACTTGAGCTTTGTCTTCACAGCTGGAGACCTTGGTTCCCATCCCAGCAGTGCCCTCAGGACTCCAAGGTGTGGACTGGGAGACTGCAGGGAAGGACAAGGCACAGCCATCTGCCAGCCCCACCTTGGAAGGGGCCACTCCTCTCAACGACCTTCCTGTGTCATTTCAGAACCAGCACCTGGCTCCTGGATGATGCCCCAGCCTTGCCAGACCTCTCCCACCCAGGGCACTCGGATCCCTGCAGCCCCAGATGCCCTCCTGCCCCACAGCACCCAGCAGGGGCATGGCAGAAGGTTTGGACACAGCACATGGTCCTCTCCAGCCCCCCAAAAGTGACTGCTGGCCTGCCTGCCTTCCCTCCCAGATTTTTTTTTGCAAGACCTAATTTGTGAACCCCCTTGAATGCACTCTGCATCTGTTGAACATCTGCTGGTAGGACACACAGGTCCTCCTGCCTTGTGAAAGGACCTGGGCTTTCCCCACTCCTTCTGTTCTCCTGAACTTTGCTGCTTCACATGATTTCATCACATCTGTTGGACAGGGAGAGACACAGGATAACCCACTTGTGCCACAGCTGGCTGAATTGTCAAGATGAGAAGAGGACAAAGTCAGAGGTGTTTCAAGCAGCTGAGGGACACAAAAACAACTGGTTGGAAAGCTGGGAAAGACAAGAAGGTGAGCCCAGAAGCAGTTCTAAGCCCCAAATCCAGGCTGCAGAGACCCAAACAAGCTGCTGGGCATTGCCCCTGCTCACCTGGGATCTCACTGGAGGGGCAGGAAGGGGAAGGGTGAACAGCAAAGCCCCTGTGGGCAAACCCTCAGTCATGAAGACACTTTCCTGTCACTGAGGGGTGAGCAGGAGGTGTGGCTTTCCTCTGAAGCAGGACCCACGTCCATGGTGGGAGCACCAGAGGTGTGCAGTGCATGTCCAGGAGACACCTGCAGGCTGAGGGGAGGCAGCCACACCCTGCCTGGCCACAGCTCTTGGGGATGCTGCTGGAAATCCAAACCAAACTGAGAGCTGGAGCCACCAGGTGAGGAGCCACAGCACAGCAGTGCCAGGCCAGGAGATGGACACCTGCCCAGATGTAGCTGAGAGGAGCTGGCTGCAGGTCTGGATGGACATCCAGCCTTCTTTCAACTCGCTCCAAACCACTCCAGCCTCTAAATCAACTTGGAAGCAATGCTATTTACAAGCCTACTTCTTTTGGCAAAAATAAATAATAAGCAAGAGGGTGATATTATTATTATTTCAGCTTCAGAGGAGGCAATAATCAGCTTTCCAAGGAATGCAAGCTTGGCTGAGTGCTGAGGGCCTTGCAGAGATGCCCATCTCCCCTTAATGGGCTCTCTCTGGGGACTGTCCTGCTGAAATTTAACTGCCCAGGGAGGCTCAGAAGCCAGATCAGCAGGGAAATAGGATGCCAAGCCAGACACAGCTTCCTAACAGTTGGCTCAAATCTGAATTCATCATTTAGTGACCAAGAAGGGAAGCTGCAGAAGCCCCCCAGCATCTCCCCCCACCCAACTGCAGTTCCCAACAGAGACTCCAGCACTGGAGCACGGCTCTAACCCCAGCCCAGCTCCACATCTTCAGGAGACAAAACCAGCCCCAGCAGCACTCCCACCCCTGCTTTAACAGCCTTCACTAATTAGCCCTGATGACCCTCTGAGCTCCTTCTGCCTTGCTGTGCAGGGAGGGATCTCCCTGCTGAGCCCAGCTCTGTTCACTCCTGCACAGGGATGGGATTCAAACCTTTTTTTCCTCTTCATTTGTTGCTCTCCCTCCCTCCCTGCTGGTCACCCATCCCCAGCACCCACAGGGGGATGTCCATCCCTCCCTCACCTCCCTTCCCTGCTCCCCTTCTGCCCCACATTCAGCCCCACCTGGTGTCTCACCAGCCTGCTGGGGCTGGGACAAAGCCACGGGTGTGTCTCCACTCCTCCTGAACTCCAGCTCTTCTAGGAGAAGACTTTGTGGATGTTTCCTGCCTTGCACTGCTGCTGAACTCGCAGCTGCCTGACCCCAAGCCCAGCTCCACGGGCTCCTGTTCTCCCCCACAAGGATCCACAGAGTTCCCAGCCAACGCTGTGGGACAGCCCAGGGCAGCAACACGTCACACACATGTGGCAGCTTATAGAAAGGATTGAGGAGTCTCTTCCCCCTTTTATTGAAAATGATCACTTCTATTCTAGTGCAAACACTGTACATTTTACATCACAAAGCAAGAGATAATTTACAGGACACGCTTCCATCTGGAAATCCCGTGGCTTCACGGCAGCCTCGTCAATCATCCATCCCTGCCACGCACGAAATTCCCACTTTGAGGGAACCAGTCATCTATTTCTCTGCTGAGAGAGGGGGAGCCTGAGAAAACAGTGCTCAAACAGAGTAGGCAAGAGGATAATGCCTTAAGACACATTTTCTCTCCTGAATGGTACCAGAACTTAATGATAACCGTGGTAACCATGGCAACTTCCCAGAGCTACAACTGGAAATCTACTGAAACCCTGGAGAAATTCACTCTTTGAGGATAAGGCCCTTAATTTGCACATATATTTACATGGTTTAATAAAATACAGATTAAACACAATTCTAAAATTTCACTTTGGCTTGATTGATGACGAGTCACTGTCTTTTGGCTGAGGTCATCAGCAATTAACAAACAAACACCAGAAGCTGTCTGTTCATCCAGCTGGACTCTGGCTAGTAAATCCATGCAAACAAAGCAATTTTGGGTCACCGAAGGGCATGTAAAGGTCTTATCTGAACTGAAAACAGCCCACTCAGCTGTGGTGGCACCCCTGACCAAGCAGCTCGACCCAAGGCAAGACCCAGCTCAGACTGGAGGTGCAGAAGCCCCCAGTCTCCCTGCAGGAGCAGCCCCGTGCCAGACCATTCAGATGAAATGAAGAGGCTGAACAAGGGCTTGCACAGGCATTTGTGAGCCCCTTGATGTGAACATCACAGTGTGGGGATGGAGACCTCGATCCACGGCTGGGTCACGGAGCCCCAGGAGCTTCACGCTCCCTTTATAACCTCAGAAAGTGGTGTCCCTACACAGACAACAACAAAAGCTGCTCAGGGTGGTTTTTCGACTGCTGAAAAGCTGAGCAAAGACTGGGGGAAAGCCACATGCCAGAGGGATGCTGAGGGAAAGAGCTGAAACTCCAGGGTGAGCGCTCAGGGGAATTCACGCAGGCTGCTGGGCTCTGGAGGAGGGCAGCAAGGCAAGAGGAGCGAGAGCACCAGCTCAAGGTGCTCAACAACCAGCTCAAGGTGCTCAACAACCAGCTCAGCCTGTGAGTGATGACACACAAAGGCACTGGCTCCTTTCTGACCAATTCTTCTGTGTGTTTGTGTAGGCACAAACGCAGGAGTGAGTTTCTAAGTGCAGCCTGAGATTTCCAACAGGATCACTTGGCTCTAGGAGCTGCACCTGCACTGTGCACGATAGAAATATTTTGGTTTACACAGGTGAGGTTCTCCAGACTGCAGGTGGCCAAGAAAAGAGATCATACAGAACATGATGGGTTTTTTAAAGCACAGTATTCGCCCTGCCTCCCTTTCCCTGGTGTTCTGCCTGTGACTTTCAGCTTTTTGTCCTGATCACAATTAGTTTTTTTTTTCTGCAAAAATATCCACACAGGGAGGGGAAAAAAAAATCCAGCAGCAATGCACACAATCACAGGCAAAGCTTACTCCAGTTTGGATTTGGGGCTTTTTTCCTTGTGCTAGCTCAAATATTTTGGATGGATTTCCATTCATCCTTTGCCAGTTTAATTTTCACCTACACTTTAAAGAGATTTATTCCTCATTTCCTGCAACATGCTGGTTTAGACTATCAAAGCCCACTGTCAGACATCTACATATGCCCAGTGTGTCTGCAGCAAACACCAGGCTGAAGATCTAAGCCACTCTACCAGAAGAATTTCTCATGGCTGAGCTCCATTCTCCTTCCCTGATGGTCCAGCCTGGACCATGGAGTAGCTCTGCTGCCTTCAGTGGGGCTGTTCCATGGCACTGTCCACCTCAGTTTGGACACAAGTGCTATTTGTCATAAATCATCCCCAGACGGGAGAGATAGGCATCATCAGCAATGAGAAAGATGCTGATTGCCTCAGGATGTTTGTGTGGAAGAAATGCCTTTTGGGCTGCATCTCCTCTGCTCTTCATGGAGATAAATCAATTAGGTGCTAATTAGTCTCCAAAGCCCAGAGGGAGGACAGCAGGTAGGGGAAATGGTTAAGGTTATGGGACAAGCCTTACTGAGCAGTGTTAAGGGATCTTTGGTGGGATGCTCCCTGCTGAGACATCACTTGTGCCCAGAGAGACTTTCCCTGGGGATATCCCAAAAGCCACATGAAGCAGCCTGGCTGCAGAGGAGACCTGTGCTGTGTTCTGTGCAGCTGCCCATGGGGAAAACCTGCAAAAAGGAGTGTGGCTCCCTCCAGCAGCACTTCTTTGGGGTTTCTCACGGGAGGACATGAGAGCTCCAAGGCTGCAGGGAAGAGCTCTGCCAAGGCTGAGAGAGGCTGTGGCTGGAATTTCAATGCACAGCTCCACCTGCATGTAGCACAAACATCCCGAACGTTTTCAATGGGTTTTATTTTGTTTAATAAAAAACACCAACCAAGCTTGCATGTATTATCTTATATATATAAATATATACAGTATATATAAAACAAATGCATCTGGACAACGCCTTTCCCTGTGGCACAAAGTGTAAGGCATAGAAAGGAGTGTCCTGACAGTCCTGTTCTTGGCACTACAGAGAGACCCCCCTGCTCACACACCCACGTTGGCTTTGCTGTCTTCTTTGGCTTTTTGAGGCAGCAGTGCCAGGAATACTCAACCAAACAATGGAGCTCTGCAGAGCCCAAGGAGGTTTTCCAGGCAGCTCAGACAGCAGGAATCCATCTTGCTGCATTAAATGGGCTTCTGGCAGACTGATAGGAATGTGCTGCCTCTGTGGCACAAGGGACTGGAGGGATGAGGGTCGGGTGGATATAATGGAAATTGGTGACCAAACAAATTCTTCTAGGGTGAGCTGGGGCAGCGGGGAGATGAGCAAGCTTTGTATCTCAGCGTGCTGGTGGTGGCACTCATCCGTGGGCTGAGATTGGCAGAGGTTTCTTTTTGCAGTCCCGTACAAAAATGGAAACCAGCAAGGGTGAGACTGTCCTTTACTGAAGAAGCTCGCAGTATATTGAGCAGAAGCAATAAACCCGACGATAACAAGAAAATAAAAAATGGTGGCATTATCCCAAAAGGAAGGAGGAACCTTATCACTCACAGGTTCTGTTTGCTCCCCGTGTTCAGTTCTGGGTGAGGGTTGGCATTTTTTTCTTCTTTTTTTTTTCTTCTTTTTTTTTTCTATTTTATCTTTATTGTGGTTTTTTTGTTGTTGCTGTTATTCTCTTTTTCTTTTTTTTTTTCTTTCAGCACAGACAAGTTGCAAAGCAGGACGGGTGCTGTTGTGTTTTCTCCTTCTGCAAGGCAGCTGCCCCCAGTTGTTAATTGACTGTGGGCACCTGATTCCTCTGTAAACTATATTCCTTTGCCTTCAGTCTCAGGTTGGCAATACTGTTGGCCATGTTCATGCCCTGCGCCGGGCTGGCATTGGTACACGTGGCAGAGTAGGTGGCCATGGCACTGAGGGATGGAAAGAGAAACATCACGTCAGACGTGGCCTCCAAACCACAGCAGAGCCTAAACCCTGTTTATTTCCATACCTGTGGGATGTAATCCTGGTGTGGTGTCAGCAGGGAATTACCACTCCCCTTTATTTGACACCCCAGTAAATCTTTCCGCTGCTGTCACTTACCCAGCACCAAAGCTGGTTGCAGTCAACGGGAAAAATTTCCACTTCCTATTTTCTAACCCAAAAAAGGTTTGCAATGAGGTCAGCCTGCCAGTTAGACCATTGTCCTTAAAAGTATTCCCACTGGAAGCAATGTCTTTTTGATGAGACCAATTGCTGGTTTTATAGCCTGTGAAATCACGTCACTTCTGAGACACATGTTACATTAAAGAAACACGCTGGGAAAAACCCGTTTCAACAATTGTGATGTTTTCTCATTTCAGCCTTTTGGAATGAAAATTTCCACATTTTCTTCCCCTCCTCAAAACTTCAGCTGATTATAAAGAGCATGTCCTAAAGGCTGAAGGAAGAAACCCAAAACATAAACCACTTTTTCTCCCTTCAAACTGCGACTTTATTCATGAAAAACATCACTCCTGGCAGCAGAGGCTGAACAAAGATCTCCAACTCCTTTCTTATCCTACCAAAAAATCTGCAAAGCTGCTTTCCAGACCACTAGAAAACTTGTTTAATCCATGTGTCCCATGGGTTTCTGTGAAAAGCAGCTCCCCCTGCCAACTTCCCAAAACCCAGCGAAGTATTTGACCTGCTGCATTTCCTTTGCGTGGGTCCACAGATCAAAACCAGTTGAGGAGCACCACACGAAGCAGAGGTGCCCATTTAACACAGAGTTTAACACAGGAGGAAACCCCAAATGCTCTGCTGGAGGCCAGCTCAGCTCTGCTGCTGCCCTTTCCCATCTGCCTGCCAGGGTGGCTCACAGCTGAGGCTCTGGGAAATGCTCTGCTCCATCCACACACCCAAACACCAAGACGGGTTGGGATGTTTTGCCTTTTTGTCTTTTCTTTTTTCTGTCATAAAAAAAAAAAAAATAAAAAATCTCCCTGCAGGGACAGGGGCACCTGCTGCACAGACCCAGGCTGGAGCTGTGCCTGCTCAGCCCGAGGTGCTGCTGGTATTTCTGACCTCCCAGGAGTTTATCTGCCACCCAGTGCTGTGTGAATCCTCAGTCTGCAGGAGATCCAGAGCAGGGAATATCTGCATTTCACCAGCATCCAGAACACGTGGATGTGCTGTTTCTGGAGCTCTTCTCCACCAGCTGCACCCCCCCATTCCCTCTCCATGGCTGGGCTGGTTGCTCTCCTCACCCCAAGTGCTGCCTGCAGGAGGGTACAAAGCTCCACAAGGTCTAAAGGTGGTGGCTACTTAAGCCCCCATACCCATCTGCTTCCACAGGGTGCATCTCTCCCATGTTTTTGAGCTGGAAGCAATCTGGAGACCTTCAAGGGTACTCCAAACTAGATAAAGTAGGAGTTTTCAGTCAGGGCTGTAAACTGTCCCCATTCAAAACCAGGTTCCTGGCCAAGTTTGGGCTGAAACTCCTGGGAGCCTCTGCCTCCCAGCTCCCCAGAGGCGTGGGGAAGATGGTTTCACTTACTGATGCCAAGTGAAATCCCTGCTAAACCAAAAATCTCCAGAAGTGCTTCCTTTCATCAAGTTATTCCAGCAGGAGCAGTGCACAAGAAGGCTGTGTCCAAACACCAGTATAGCTTGAGCGTTGCTCCAGAGACTCTCCAGGGTCTAATAAGGGTTGAAGTCACCCTGCTGCCTCCTCCCTCCACCCCATTCAGGCAGAGAAAAATCTCCTTCCTCCACTGAGCTCTCTGCTTTCACGAAACACAGAGGAGCATCATGTTTCTGAGGCCTAAAATCCTTCTTTCAAATAAGGTTTTCTGTGGCCCGTGGAGCCAAAGGTTGCTGGAAATGGGAAGTGTGGGCTGCCAGTCTTGTTTTCTTAGGAACCTAGGCTAAAAAATGCCTAAGTAAAACATTTTTCAACTTCAAAAAAAAAAAAAAAGAATAGTATCTACTTGGCTGTCTGTGTGACAGAGATCTGCAAATAGCTCTGGTTGACCTGTGGCTGAGTGTATTTGGAGAATAAACACACGCATTGAAAACTTTTCCCAGATCTGAGAGTAAAACCAGCCCTGGCCACGCTGCTCCAGGCCCTCCCCAGGAGTGGCTGTTAATCAGGGGCTGCTACAGCACTGCTGGGAAGATGGGGACGGGGCAGGGGGCCATGCAAACACTCCACATGGCTGCAGGGTTTCACTATTTGAATATGTGAATGACCTTACTGCAAAGCTTTAGTGAGGCTGCAACACTTTCAGATGAATGTGATTGCCAAGAGATGATCAGGAGGATCAGAAAGCCTGGGGAGCATGGAGTGTCTGAGGGTCCTGTGCACCCCACAGTGTGGAAAGCAGCTGCTCTTCTCCTCTGCCAGTGCAGGGCAGTGGGAAGGTGGCACTCCAGCCTGCTTTGGTGTGCAAGCTGCAAATGCCTTTGCTGAAACATCGTGGCTGCAGACAAGACAAGGGGAAGGTGTGTCTCTGCATCGTGGATGGGCACAGCCTGGAGCTGAGGGGCTGGAAAACCATCCCCAAGGCTGGAAACCATCCCTAAGGCTGTCCCTCCTCCCCTGTTCTCATCAGCACATCCCAGGTGCTGCAGGTGCCCTCAGACAGCCCTTCCCAGGGCACCTTGGGAGTTATCTTTGCAGGGTCTTCTCCTAGCAGTGATTAGGAAGCCCCCTGTGTAAACATCATGTCAAGGAGGGAGGATCTCTTTTTAGAAGTGTGAGAGGTGGAAATAAGCCATGAGCATTGAGTAGGGATCTGGTACTGTGAGCAGTGCAGTCCCCCTGTGGTGGGGCAGGAACTCAGGTCCCTTCCCTGATCTCACCTCCCCAGAATGCTACAGCAAGGAGCGCTGCACAGGGAGAAAGCCTTAATCCACAAAAGAGGGATTTTCACAGACAGCAGTCCTCAGGAGAAATCCAAAGGATAAGGGCCATTTCTAAGATGAAGCTGGTAGCCACCAAAAGCATCCTTTTCCATATCTGCAGTGGATGGGTCTATGACTTGTTCTTCTGGACACACAGGGGGGATGAGGAGGACCCCACAGAACTGAAGCAACAAGCAGGAAGACCAAACCATGTGCTTGCAGCTCTTGCTGTGCCAACAATGCTTGGAGCAAAAAGAGGGTGAAGGTGACCCAGCAAGAGAGGTCCTGTGCACGGTGTGGGCTCCTGGAAGGCACTGGGAAGCTAGCAGTGACCAGGCCAGATGAACAGGAAGAAATCCAGCCAAAGGCTTCATGGTCCTGACCAACAACGAAGCCACTGTGCTAAAAAACACCCTCCAACCTCATTTCTAACTGCCTGTGAGCCAGCTGGCTCCCCACAAACCAACACATCCTGTGGAGCTTGTGTCCACACCCAGCTCCTGCAGAGCCAGGAATGGCACAGAGAGGACAGGGAGCACTGTGATGTGCACGGACATCCCAGATCCTCTGAGACTGGGCTTGCCACATCCATGCTCCTTTCCTGCCATCCCTTAAGCAGCACTGACCACAGGAGGTGGACACTGAGCACCAGTCTGTCACCTGGCCCTTCATGCAGGCAGAGCACAGCACAATGCTCACACACACACATGTGCTCAGGCAATGGAAAGAAACTGCTGACAGCCCGGTGCTGAGAGCACTGCTCCACAGGGATGGAGTGAGCTCCCAGCCCTGCTGGCATCCCAAGCAGTGGGACAGCCACAGAACTCCCTCTTCTGGCCACTGTGTGGTGGCTGAGCCTCCCCAAGTGCTCTGACCCTCCCTCCCCTGGATCTGTGTCCCATGGAAAGGTTTCCTTGCTAAAAATCAGATGCATTGGGGAAAACCTTCTGTTTCCATGTATTTCTACCTGAGCCTCCCTCAAAATTCCATGAATTGCAGAGAGAGACCCCCAGAAAACAAAGATACAACGATCTGGGACCACACTGAGCTGGGACCACACTGTAACACTTACAATGACATGGGGGGTGGGCAGAGGTGAGGAGAACCAGTGGGATGGTCAGACTGCTGCATCCTCCAGCTGTGGGCACATCCCAGCTGTCTGAGGGCCGCTTTTGGGGTGGTGCAGCGGGGTCATCACTCACTCACTCACTCACTGACTCACTCACTCACTCACTCACCTGTAGGGCGAGGCAGTCCCCCAGGAGAGATAGTCGGTGGGCCTGGGGGCAGGGCGAGGTACGATGGGCTGCTCCACGGCCGTCACGTCCCCTGAGTAGGATTTGAGCAGAGAGGCGTTCTTGCTGGCCAGCATGGCCCGCTCGTTCCGGCGGAACTTGGCTCTCCGGTTCTGGAACCACACCTGCAGGGGGGACAGCACAGGGCCACCAACCATCACATCTGCTGTGCCACTGGCCACGTCCCCATGTCACTGTGCCCTGCAGGCTTTGGGAAAGCTGGCTGTCCCTGGGAACCCTAAGGATGGGATAATGCTGGTGCCTGCTGTGATCAAGCCCTCAGGTGGGGGGCTGGCTGAGGGACAGGGGTGTGTCCCGTGCAGATGGCTGTGGCAGTCTTATTTTCTGGAAAAATCCCTTTGCCCAGGAATTCTCTCCTTGGAAGCTGAGAAGCCTCAGAGAAAAAGGAAAACAATATTATCTCATTTGCTTCTCCTGTGTTTTGCTGCTTTGGAATGTGGTTGGATTGTTTACCCACAGGTGATTGTTTCACGTGAATTGTTTTGACTTATTGGCCACTTATGGTCAAGCAGTGTCAGGGCTCTGGAAAGAGTCACGAGTCTTTTCTAGGATCTTTTAGCCTTCTATAAGTATCCTTCCTGTATTCTTTAGTATAGTTTAGTATAGTATTCTTTAATATAATATAGTATCATAAAAGAATAAATTAGCCTTCTAAGAACACGGAGTCAGATTGATCATTCCTCCCTTCGTCTGGGAACCCTGCCAATACAAGAGATGGCAGCAAGGTCTGGCAGTGCTGTCCAGCACACTGTGTTCCACGGTCTGCTTTGACCTGCAGAAGGTGCAGGCCTGCAAGCTAAGAGCTCAAGTTAAGATCAGCAGCCTGAGCATCTTGGCCATATGGACATGCCTGAGAGGGCAGGTGCTGAAAGGGGTGGCAGATCAGGCCTGGCAGTCTCCCTCAAGGCACGGTGGAGCCAGGAGCTCGGTGACCCTTGTGTGCCACACAGACCCCAAGGATTTCTGCTGCCTTGCTGGAGTGACCTGATGATCCCCTAGGTGAGGAGAGCCTGGGTGTGAGCTGTGGGATTACCTGAACTCTGGCTTCAGTGAGGTTGACTCTGCGTGCAAGGTCTTCCCGTACGAAGGCATCGGGGTAGTGAGTCCTCTCAAAGACCCTCTCTAGTGCCTGCAGCTGGCTGCTGTTGAAGGTAGTCCTGTTCCTCCTCTGCTTTCTTTTCTTCTTCTCTTCTGAGTTCAGCTGATCATCTAGGAGAGACAATTGGGGATGGGAGAAGTGAGAAAGCCAGGAGCCTACAGCCATGGGGTGAACGACCTCAATGGTTTCAAGAGGGAAGGGCTTAGGAAGGGGCTTGCACAGTTTTAACCCCACACATCAGCCATGCTGGGTGAGTCCCCATTGAGGAGGAGATGGAAAGTGCACTGATCCCAAGCATTTATTTTTCAATTCTACTGCGTAAGACTTGTACCAGATCTCTTAAGCTACCCCAGGTCTCAGATTCCTTATCTCTAAAAGGCAGCAAAAAAAGCCCAAAATGCATCTCCCCATTCCTGACAATCCCAAAAATCTTTTGTGATGGCAAAGAATCACAAAGCCCTGTTCTCTCTGCTTCAGCTTTCCAAGGACTGCTGTGACTGGGATGTAACACAGCTCTCTGGGGTAAGAGCATACTCTTGGATGCTGCTAGTGAGGAGCAGCTGTGCCCTCTGCAGCATCCTCCTTGCCTTGCTGGACCAGCAAGGCGTTCAACAACCACCCATAAGAGCACGTATTGTTTTGTACCTGGTTCGCATTTACTCAGAAATTAATCAACACATCTGGATCATGCCAGTATGTGTGGGGTGCCACCAAAAAAATCCACATTACCATGGGGGGACCTGAGCCAATATTCATGTCAGCATTAAAATGTATGATCCCTGAATCCATAAAAATGCACAAGCTAGGGAATCATATTCTAAGTTCATCACTGCACACCTTGGCCCAGGTGACAGTGTCACCACTGAGAGTGCCAGGGCTTGATCTGCTATGTACAGATGGAGAACACCCCCTCAACAGTCACTCCTTTTGCCATGTACAAATATGACAACTCCCCTTATCCCTCTCTTCTCCAGGGGGTATGTAAGGCACAGGGAGGGGCTGGCAAGGAAATTAAAGTCTGCAGTTGTTGTCCTCACCACCTGTTTGGGTTGCTTTTCACAGCCCATCTGGTACCAGTTACTGCACCTGAACACCTTTGGAGCAAGGCCCATCCATTTGAGAACAAAAGGACATTCCTCTTAAATTAAAGCATGGTTTTCAAATTCCTTCAGGTTTACAGTGCCTCCATCCCTAATCGTCCTCCAACAGCCTGAAGATCCCCAGAAGGCTCCTTTCCAGCCTGGGGATTCCTGGGCGCAAAAACACACCCTTGGTTTTCCCATATCCAAAAGGAAGTGTTTGGAGACCGGTTTTTGACAGGAATGCTGAGACATAAAGCTGAGCTGGGAAGGGACTGGCAGAGGCAGGAAGGTGCAAGAAAAACAAAGGCACGTAGGAATTAAAGCAGGGCTACAGGTGAATCTATCAGCTCAGGTGGTGGGAAGCAAAGCAGTGGAGCAGAGGGATGGGATTGAACTGCTTTGTGCAGTTGTGCAGAACGCCCTGCACTCGTTTCTCCCTGCTGGGGGTTTAACGCCGTCACAGGCTCCATCCCCTATAAAGAAGGAGAAAACCCCTGCATGTCCCTCTCTTGAGTCATCACCAAACCCTTCTCAAAAGGGGTCAGCTATTTCCCCCTGTGCTGCTGTGCACCACACAGCACAGCAAACAGAGCCTCGGGGCACAAACGTCCCTCCAAATGCCACAAACACCGCAAGGCCAGCTGCTGGACAGGCCAAAGACAACACAGCCTCCTTTGGAATTACCCACTTCATGCTATTTTCTAATCCAAACCCTGCCTATGCAGAGCATAGGAACAAATCAATAAAAGCCTTTGGGACCCCTGCAGCATCCCATCCAGGCCTCTGGAGCATCATTTCTGCCCAGAAGACAACACCCGGCTGCAGGGAACACGAGTCTGGCTGCTGCTCGGCCCTGCGTGACAGCTACACATGAGGAAGGGTGAGCACATCCCTCTGGGGAGCAAGAAGAAGGGCCAAAGTCTGTAAAACACTGGAGAACGAGAATTCCCCCTGCCAAGCACGTTAGCATAATTTGCCTGGTTTCCTCCCGGCGTAAAGCGAGACGCCGGTGATTCACGGCTCACCTCGTAATTACTGCGCCCAAAAATAGCCAGGCTGAGGGACAGAAAGTGTCCCTGCTGGGTGACTCATGGCTGGGTCACTGCTGGCTAAAGCACCCCCAGCCTGGGCTGCCATGGAGCAGGGATGCCAGTCACCCCCCTTTTCCAGGACAGAGCTGCATGGAGGTGACAGCAAAGCACAATCTGTGACAGGGAGCTCCGGAATTTTGGGATCTCCCATCGCCGCACCTCTGGAACGGTGCGAGATCCAAATGTCTACAGGAGTCATGTGGGTAGCAGGGGAAAAAAAATAATAACAGGATATTAATCCAGAGCAGCACGGGGTTGGTCAATCCTTGTGTCTTGCCATGTGCTGCTGTGGAGGGACTGCATACACTAAACCCAGCCTGCCTGCAAATGCCACCCTGCTCACAGTGCTCCCTGGCTGCCTCCAGAGCATCAGCACGGTGTTTCTTCTTCTCTGCTGTAACTGCTTTATCAGGAAACAGCCCTGAACACTGGAAAATGGTATGCCTGAAAAATGGTATTCCTGAAAAATGGTATTCCTGAACAGTGTTGACAGCACGAGTGACTGGGGTCAGCAGAAACAGAGAGGAGAGAGAAACAGCTCTAAAGCTTTTTAGGTAGGTCAGAAGTCTTTTGTCAGTGTTCTTTTAATCAGAAAAATTTTATTACATGCAGCGTTCTGAAAAGCTGAGCCGCTTGCAAATGTGCCTCGCACGGAGATCGAAATGTGCGTTCTCCTCTCAGGAACCCAGTGCTGGAAAATCTTGGAATTTCGTTGCCAAATCCCAACCTTTCATGCTGGGACTACGTTTCCTGTTTCCACATTTGCATTTTCCTGTGTTAATTCTACGTTCCCCCATAACATGCAGGTCCTGGTGTCATACACAAGTGCACCAAAGCATTTCCAAGTGCTCCTAAATGATTCAGCAGGAAACATCCTGTTCTCTTTTCCTCTCGCAGCGAGGCAGAGCCACACTTGCAGACACTCCAATCTATTCTCCTCACGGTACAGTGCCTGTCACTATCACTGGGGCACCACCAGGCAGCTCCTCTTGGGATGCCACATTGAATAAAAAAAACCCAAAAACCAAACAAAACAAAAAAACAAACAAAAAAAAACACCCACAAAAAACCCAACCCCCCCCCAATAAACCACCCAACAACAACAACAAAAAACTAGAACAAAAATTAAATTAAATTAAATTAAATTAAATTTAATTTAATTTAAAAACAACCTAAATCAGAGTTGAGAACTAAATGCCTACGTAGGACTGTCAAGACTGGTATTCTTCTCATCAATACTTACAACCGCAACATATTTCAGATTTCTAGTTTGCAGGAATGCTTGTGCATACTTGCATTCATTCCAGGTCAGAACAAAAGCTAACTTCCAGATGGGATTTACATTGTGTGGGCAGTTTGGAAAAGTTTTGACCAGTTCTATTAAGTCCAGAACCAGCTATTATAGTTCATTAATTGGATCCGAATCGAAAGTAAACCATTGGATTTAATTAAGGGAGGGACAGAGATACTTAACCACAGTATAATGTATGGTAAGGCAGCAAAGATTTGTCACAGCAGTTATAGAAACTGTAAAATGGGAAAGGATTCCAGGAAGAAAATAGGGAATCACACTCTAATCACAACCTTCAAAATAAGAAGCTAACGTTTGTACACAGATTTAAGAACAAGCAAGACAAATTATTTCACAGTGAAAAAAATAATAAACTATAAATTAAAAAGGCAACAACTCAAAACTCTTAAAATATAAAAAAATACTGCAAGTAAGTGAAAGTTTTATTCAGATTTGTGGAGAAAGAAAGGAAAAGGGAGAATAGAAAGGAAAGGAACAGGGCTTTTTATTGGGTTCAAACTTAAATTTCATGAAGCTTGAATAGAAATATTTCTGGGTGTTCCCCCAGCTGTGGGCAGGCTGCTCTCCCCAACAACAGCCACCCAGTTTATAGCCCACCACACACTCCCAGTCCGCTTTTACTCACGCTCCGCTTTGCTTTCGATTCATGACAAAACCTTGCAACACTTTGCGTGCAGGGCAGCTTTGTCAACTGGCATCGTAAAAAACCCAAAACTAAAACCCAGACCCAAAATGTTTAATCAAAGCAAAAACAAGGCTCCAAGCAGAGCAATGGGAGCACACAAAACCCAAAGGGTTACAAAGCCCTGCCCCACTGATCTGAGACAAGGTTCGCTCGATTTTCCACCCCGCTCCTCCCAAGGGCTCCTTGTCCAGCAGCAGCATCTATTGTCTTTGCCAGATGTGAGGGACAGAAGAAGGGTAGGGGGACTTAAATGGAAAAGATTTCATGCCCGGAGCTGCCTGAAGTATCTTTCTTTCTAAAATCTCCCAGGAGAGAACGAACTCCAGCTCGTGCATATTTCTGCGCGCAAGAGAAGTATTTCTGAATGGAAATGGGGTTTAACTTCAGGGAACACAAATGCTACAGAGAAGGTGCAGGTATCCCACAGCAGCCATCACAAATGTAGGCAATATGGAATGAAGATAACACTTAGATGTAAATATGTTAAGATAGGAGATGCCTATTAAGTCATGTACTTCAGGACAGCAGCGACAGCGAGCCCAGCTGTACAACAGTGATAACAGCAGGTTTTTATTCTGAGTACAGGTCAGACTATAGAGATTTTTGAACTATCATTTTCCTCTCATTACACAACACCAGCTGAGTTTTTCTTCTAAACTCTGCTGTTTTTGTTTTTTTTTTTTTTCTGCACTATCTTAATGTTTAAATTATTTCAATTACACAAAAAATTCAAGTATCCAAAGTTCCAGTCTTGTTAAAGAGCACCAGGAGCACAGAAAAAGAAATGTAACAAAGAAAGACATTCTATTTCCTTTAAGAGCCATCTCTTGTGATTATCTCGCAGTCAGGTTCAAGTCTTGCACATAAATAAGAAGTTGTTCTGTGCTTGAGCACGAAGCTCCAGAAAGGTGACACTGAATTTTTCACACCAAACCAAAAA